GGGGTTCTTATCAACTTCACCTGTCTCCACCAACTGCTATTTGTGTTACAAGCTGTAGGAATTGTGCTTTGTCTTCCACATTGCCAGATTGTTTAATTCGCCAAACAGTCAATTGGGTGGTTGGCGGGTGCTCTGGTGTGGTTTGTTCCTTGTTCCTTCTTTCTTATCAAACATCTATTGTCCTTATCTCTTCTTCATTTTTGTGTTTGTTTATCTCTTGCAACACCTCTAATCTTCGACACTAAGACACTTATATGACCTAATTGCGTTGCAAGTGTTGTAAAACCCTCACTCAAACTAAACTAAAAACTAGTCTAAACCGAACAGTCACATAATTATTAAGACATACATGTACATGTATTGAGTTAATAATTAGATCTAGAACAGATTTATATAAAATAGTAGGCAGGGAAGTAAGGAAAAAAAATCCATGCCAAATAAGCCTGCATCATGAAATATGCGATGTGACGCAACGTGCTCAAATGGTGATCCTGTATAAGCGTCACAGTCACAGATACGATAAATTATAAAATGCATTTTTATTGATCCCAGAAGGGCAATTTGGTTTACAATGACAAACATATAGATCTATACATACATAAATACGAGGACATCATTATAAATAAATACACTTACTTGTACCCAAATAAATACATACACACTCGTAGGCTACATAAATTAATACAATATTTTACCAATATAAAACAATTTCACAATCTTGCCATTGCCGGTCGCCAACCGAAAATCACACATAATATATTCATTTCATTATCCTTGACTTAGTATTAGATCTATAGATCTATCTTTATGATTATTATTATTATCCTGCTCTTCAGGGATGAGGGATATTTCTTTTTTATTCTTTTTAATTGCTTTTTTCTGTTTTAAAATTTAAAAAAATTCCACGAACATTTCATTTTTCACCGAGTCTCCAATTACTTCATTGAAAGCTGAACATGCTGCAGGTGCATCCTGAAGGTGTGACAATGACGTGTCCCTGGAGTAACAAAGACGGTCATGTTGTCAACAAAATAATACCTCTGCACTTTTACTTTTACCATCCGATTCTGGATAGAGGTCTCCTTTTTTTCGCAAGTGTTTTACGGTGCTCGCAACTGCACAAGGACACACGAACCCGCAGGACGCATTGGATATATAGCATTTTCAGTAGTTAGGAAATTTAGAATTTTGCCCGGGTGGCGGCCGAAGCCTTCTCTTATCGATTTTGGACCACCAAGGGATCTTTAAAAATCTCACTGATTATTATCAGCTAAGACATTCATTGCTCCTAAGTGTATTTGAAGAAGCTTTAAATAAAGTGAAGATTGATAAATGGCAAGGCTTGCGTTATGAAACTGTTTGACAGGAACATGGCTGGCTACAAAAAAAAGAGGTTTGCGGGACAGCTTGCACCACTCGTTTTTATTTTATTTTCTCTTAATGACTTAATGCACTTTTCTTCTTAGTGTTAGGCTTTGATCTTGCTTCTGCGAATGTCATTTAAAGACATAATGGCAGATTTTACAAACAGCAACAAGTTAACTGGGAAGTGATGCAGTTGACAAATTTTAACATTTAATTCCACTGAAACCCCTAGAGCTTAATTTAACTGGGAAGGGATGCAGTTGACAAATTTTGACATGTAATTCCACTGAATCCCCTAGAGTTATTAAAACCGCTGCTGGTGTCTTTTGTTCCTGATGCGATGAAAAGAGGGGTTGATAAAATGAATTGCTTTGTCTTTATCGAATCAGTTGACATTGCAATAATACAATCTACGAGTTACAGAAACATGAGATTCCGATTTAATCATATTTTCATAGTTCATATGCCCTTTTTGTCCCGCAGAGGACACATCATAGTTGTTATAAGTGAAGGCGCTTTTTTTTAAAACCAAGAAAATGCCCAATAGCAAATTGAAGCTTATAAGTATTTGCGAAGATATGGAAGATCACAACATTGTGGCTTTGGTTTCTGCTTTAGCCAAGTTCATTGAACTTCTTCTTCCCCTTCTTTTACTGGTCACTCTTGAATATCAGCATTTCATACCGGTGGTTTTCCCCAAAATAATATTATGCTAAACTCATGAAAGCATTTTTCCCGACTTTGCAACTACAGGATTAAAATTTCATTTTCAAGATGACTAATGAAACTTTCCAGAAAGTTTTCTTCAACCAGCTGCACTTCAAATAAACCTTTGCTTCACTGAAGCATCAACGTTTGATTTCATAGCCTGTGATTTGGCTGGGAAGCTAGCTGAAAAAGTCAGAAGTGTTTCGATGACTGTGCCGCTCTAACTCTCACTGGAGAAGGACTTCAACAGAGTTAATGTTTCTTTGCCTTGCCTTCCGCCGGATGATCCCACACACAGGAACATGGAATTGTCGTAAGACTCCCCCCCCCCCCCAAACCAAAAAAGAAGGATTCTTCTTCTTCTTCTTCTTCTTCTTCTTCTTTTTCTTCTTCTTCTTCTTCTTCTTCTTCTTCTTCTTCTTCTTCTTCTTCTTCTTCTTCTTCTTCTTCTTCTTCTTCTTCTTCTTCTTCTTCCCTTTATCATTCTCATTGGCCTTTTGTATAATGTAATGAGAATATTAAAAAGTAAGATAAGAATAAAAAATCGAAATACTGGCGTAGTCCACGAGCGACCCGGAAACAGAATTGTTTGTACCTGGGCAACCCAACTGCTGGCCAAGGCAAAGTGCTCTGAACAGAATTTTGTCAACTTTCGGTTCCGCAACACAGGTAAAAGAGAGGGTATTTTTCTTTAGGCCTACTACTAAAATTTGATTCGTTTGTCCTGTTTTGAACATGGCAGGAATGGGTTGATTTTACAAATCAAGGTACTTTCTGTATGCCCCCTCGTTCTCCATAGGTTCGATTTTGTGCCAATCCAATGGCAACGACGGACCCAATGCATGTCTGATGCCATCCATCCAGTGACAATGGCGTGATCAATTAGCTTGTCAAGGACAAAGCAAAAGTGTTGTCCTGAGGCAGTTTTTGGGGGGCTTGGGGTGTCACCAGAGTTTCATCTTCCAATGGTCTCAATGCCTGCTCAGGCAGGACCTTTGGTCCTGGTTATCCATAGGATCCCGAGCTGGTGTTGAAACCAAAGGTAATCTAAATCTAGCTGAAATGGGAGGACTTCCATAACGAGCGACCACTATGAGTCAGAGCAGAATTGAGGGCTTGAGGTAGGGGTAGGGGTAAGGGTAGGGTTAGGGGTAGGGTTAGGGTTAGGTCTGGGCCTCTTCTTTATTGTGTTTGATGGGGTGGTCGCTCTTTACGGAACTCCTTCCGCTGAAACTCTACTGCAGGATCCAGAAAGTCCTCGGAGGTACATATTCGATCCCCTAGAATTCCAGACCTGTGGTCGAAAAGTCTAGGGCATCAAGTGACCACTCACAACTAGAGACAAGGGCAGTTGGGGGAGGGACAGCAAGTTCTTCTGAAACAGAAGCAGGAGCAGGAACAATATCACAACATGTGGAAACAGTGGCTGGAAGAACATCATCACTTGGTGTATACATTGGACAGAGGAACATCATCATCATCAAATCATTACATACAACGGGATAGAGTTTCCTTGGCTCATATAAATTTGTTTCAAACATTAACAAAGAAAAATCTAAAGTCGCTCATATGATGAATTTTCGAATGAATCCGTGTCTAAATAGTTTGGGGTACATCCACCAAAAAATGGTACCCCATACCGTCACCCCCCCTACGGGCGCCAATTGTTACAACAAAGAGCAGCGAATGGTTTTTGGCGGTAACTAGACACCTTATAAACTGAATAAAAATGCGAAACAAATCGTTTTGCCGTGATACTGCTTGTTGAAGAGGCGACTTAAGGTGCATAGGTCTGGTTGCCCGAAAAGTGCCAGTTTGCAGAGGACCAACTACCCGACCCAGTAAAAATAGTCCGTTACAGAATCACGGACAAACACAGATTTTTATTTTTCGATCTTGGGAGACGGAGGAGCTTCTGCACCAGCAGGCACAATGAAGGACAGCGGACAAAGCCGAAAGGACTCTCCTGACCTTCTTTGTCGAACAAGTCTCTCCGGATGGCGTCGTGGAATGTTCGCACCTTGTTTGATGCTGGAAAGAGTTCTCAAGTAGTACAAGAGATTAAGAGTTGCAGGGTTGTGCATGATGGCCGCCTCACTGACAGCTTTAACATCTAGACCAGTGTGAGACGGGGATGTTTACTATCACCTTTCCTCTTCATATTGGCAGTCAATTGGCTGATGAGGGAAACCACCAGAGGACACAGAAATGGTATACAGTGGACCCCATGGAAACAGTTGGACGATCTGGATTTTGCGGACGACTTGGCGCTTCTGTCACACACCCAGGAACAGATGCAAGCAAAGACTTCAGTTTTAAACAGCCTAGAGTCTGTTGAATCGAGGGTCCACTCCGGAAAGTCAAAGGTCCTAAGGACAGATGCAAAACGAAAGGAGCAGGTCTCAATAGAAGGAAATGCACTAGAAGACATTGAATCCTTCCGCTATCTTGAGAGTATAATTTTGACAGAGAAGGAGGAACAGGTGCTGAAATAAAGTCCTGCTTTGGAAAAGCACAGGCTGCTTTCATATATTTGGATAAGATTTGGAAGACCAGAGATATTCACTCCGAACAAACCTGAGGATTTTCTGTCAGTCTTGTTGTATGGATGTGAGACATGGAATGCATCACAGACTTGCGTAAATAAAGAGGATCGAGGTTTTCCTGACATGTGTTTAAGAAAATTACTGAGGATCAGATAGACAGACAGGGTCACCCATGAGGAAGTGTTAAGGATTATAATGAGACTGTTCCCAGTCACAAATGAGGTAGGAAGAAGGCGGTGGCAATGGATTGGACATACTCTCAGGAAGTCAGGCAACTGCTTAGCAAAGAAAGTGTTGGATTGGAATCCACTGGGTAAGAGATCAAGGGGAAGACCACGTGGAATCTGGAGAAGAATCACAGAAATTGATGTACAGAAAAGTGGGTAGACATGGAATAATATCAAGAGCCCAGCCCAGGATAGAGAAAGGTCGAAAGTGTTTGTCCGTGGCCTATACCCTGATGCAAAGTGAGAAAGGCAATGATGATGATCACTTCACATTCTAAATGTGAGGCAGTGTGGTGTAATCAGGCGCTCGTCAAAATAATGGAATTGAAGCAATTTTCCATCGGGTTTGCAATTTTTATTAAATTTTTGTTGCATGTCTTTTATCTCCAAATATATAAAAACACATTTCTATGTTCATTTTACTTTAAAATGTTGATTAAAGATACAAAAAATTTTAATTTTCAGTTTCCCAGGGCTCTCCAGCTATATAATTCATCAAACTTTGGCGGCCATTTTCTCTCTACTTTTACCTCTGAAACCACAGCGTTGTGACACAAATGTTTATCTATATCTTTTGAGAGTTTCACTCTTTAATCGGTCAGGCACCAATATCTTTGCAATAGGGAGTCTAGATTATCAATGATCGCTCCAAAATTTCATGAAATCAATCAAAGATCACAGGTCACAGGCTCAAAGGTGATTGATAAATTTTTACTTTCGCTCCTGCACACAGATGTCCTGCTTTGGGGGTCAAACTGCAGTACCAGTATTTTAAAAAAATCAAGATGACACTCATTCTAAAAGCCATTACACTTGTTACAAATCAATATTTTAAAGAAAATTTCAAACCTAACCGCAAAAATCAAATTTTGGGATTAAAACAGGGGGGCATGCCCCCTGTAACCCTCCAGATTTTTTTTTACTTGGGGGGGGGGGGGGGAGAGCGGCATGATGGACACCTAGTAGGCTTCTATGTGTGGGGCGGGAGGAAAAGTAAAAGAATACCAGTCATTTAAGAAGATAGCAAAATGCCTCTTCCCATGTTCGCCTAGGTCAAATTGCCTACTTTGAACAAAAGAACAGTTCTAAGGAGAAGTCTTGAGTTGCTTTGACTCATTGCTTATGGAGTCTTAAGTTGCTTTGACTGATTGCTTTTTATGGCTTATCCATGCTGCATATATATGCCATGGTCAATTAAGTTTTGTAGCAACTGTGTACCTTTGCCACAGCCCCTTCGGTTTCTGAGTTCAAAATTGTTTTTTAATCACATTATATTACCACAGCTATATTGGTGACTGTATATATATATTATGTTACTTGGTCTCATGTCACAGTAATTCTTTAAAATACATCATGTTGAAATAGTGGGTATTCAAGGGGCAGTGACATTTGAAAAATATGGTTGTTATGGAGTTCTATAGAACAAAAATAGAATGCAAGATGCTTTTTAAAAAAAGTGGAAGGGAGTCTTGTAAAAATTCTTTGAGTCATTTAACATTGAATGAGTTATTTCATTCATTCACTATGACAAGCCGATTGCTCGGTTCAGCCTCCTCTTCATCAGTATGATAATCTGTATCATGGGTTCAACTATATGTTTCTTTAAATACTCAGAATGGTCATCATATCAAGACTTTCAGAAATAATATTCATGTTTTGATAACGTTTTTAATGAACATTGTTTTTTTCAAATTCCCCTTTTGATTCCCTTTTACTTTCATTTAGTAAAATACACTTTATAAATAAAAAAAAGTAAATCGGTTGACGAATCAAAATGTCATTAAGGTGCCAATCGGCTGATGAAATGTGTCCAGGAGAGAAGAAAATTACGTACGGTAGTGAATGAATTAATTTTGTATTATTATGTACTTTCACAGCACTGACAACACTTGTAGGCCTACTACAGTGACATCTGTGTCTACAGCAAATGGAAAGACAATTTCTTGTTTCTCCACAGCTTCTGCTCTTATCCACTGATTGATGGCAAAAGTCCAGGACGTTGAAAATTTTATTAGGAGTGCTTTGGGTGCACATTTCACTATTACAGCCATTGAGACCAGTGACTCTTTGTTAGTTCCACTTCCAGCATGGACAGTACTGTTCGGAATCGAAAAATGCAGGGCACAATGAAGGAAGGCATGTCAAGATTAGAATCTGCCATGTCAGATTCTGTTCTCAGATTTCGTCTTATGCCTTCTAGAGCAAAGTTTGTAATATTTTTATCTGGAATCTTGTCCGTTTTCTTTTATTTGTATCTCGGTCACTGGGTTTTTGCAACAGATTCTGATAAGGCTTTAGAATCTCTTCTTGATACAGAGAAATGCCCAGCTTGTTTTGGCTACTCAGCTTGCGGGTTACTTTACAATAAACAGCTCAAATTATCTGGTACATCAAGGTATAGATTACTTGACATGATAAATGGAAAAAATGTCCATTTTGGTCTATTGGAATATGACGATAGGGAGGTGGTTCTGAAGAAACTAGCTACAGATACCGAATTAAAAGCAACGGACAAAATGCTTTGCGAAGATGCTAAAAGGCAAGAAGGATGTGATATTGCTCGAGTTATTGTTCGCACAGACATTGGTGCACCATTGTTCAAGGGAGACTTGACTCCGAAAATACTTGAAAAGACTGGTGGATTCATGTTCTATTGCCCAAGCTATCGTCTTGTGGATCGAATGTGGAACTACTTCCAAGAGTTTAAGAAAAAAAATGATATATTTGTGTCTGACAAGATGCAAGTGCTCTACACAGGCTTTGTGAACCCAGAACCTCTCATCTTACAGGTAAAGTAAAATATCTATTTATACTCTTATGAATGATGGGCTGAAAGACAAAGAAACCCTTTTAATGGTTACGGAAAAAAATGTTCTTCCAGCTTTTAGCGTTACTTTTGCAAGAAGAATACTTGTATATTATTATATTTATACACATTGCAGATTATTTTTGTAAAATTTTATAATCCAATACATTTATAGATTCTTTTGAAACTATGGTTCTTTTGAAATTGTCAGATAATATACAATGTAAGGATGGAAAAGGTAAGGATAAACTTGTTTCATTCTATTTTCTTTTCAGTTAACCGCTGTTTTCGGATGAAATGTCTTCAGACTCCACAGTATATGTGATGCAGCCTAGTGGAATCAGGCCCTCGTTTATTTTTGGGCATGTAGAGTTATTGGTATTATCTTAAAGCTTTTTCATTGTCTTTATTTGGATGAAAAAAAGTCCATTTAGCTTCAATACAAGTCGAGATATTTGCGAAAGAAGGAGGTGGGGGTCACCTGTTTTCAGAGGTAAAATTAGTGAGAAAATGGTCGCCAAAGATTACTTATTTCCTTAGCTTAAGAGTCCGCGGTAACTGAAAGTTTACATTTTTTGTGCCTTTAATCAACGTTTTTCCGAAAAATTAATACAGAAATGAGTTCTTTAATGGGCATGAAAACGTTGAGCCAAAAAACAAAAATTTGATAAAAATTCACAAACCTGCGAAAAAATGCAAGTTTCTTCACTTTGATTATTTTGACTAGAGCCTGATTCCACCATGCTGCCTCACATATTTAGATTTTGGGGGAACAGTCTGACTGAAAAAAAAAGCATTACAATTATATTGTTACTTTACTCTTATAATCTTTGACACACTCTGAGAAAGCACAGAAGAAAGGAAAGAATACTCTCTTGTGTCCCATGGACCAACTGCTACTGGGCTATTGATTGATATTATAAGTTTGTAGAATGGTTTAGCTTAAAATAGTCAAAAAATCAGCTCAGGAATGATGCTCGATTTTATTATTAATTGCCTTTTTTTGAGTTAGAGTAAGAGGAAAATTTACTTTGGGTCTAACTCTGAGTAGTCATAATTTCTATTACTTTTCAATACATATAGATCTGTAAGGACAGAGGTAAAGGTGCGCGCTCATATGACCTTACGCAGTTGCGAGCGCCGTAAAACCCCATACTACTACTACTACTACAGAGGTAAAGGAAATAAAACCTCTTTTGTCACTGTTGTACTGGACTTTACTACATTCACTTACATTTTGTCATACTTTTAAATTCATATTTGAGATCATATTTTAAAGAGCGTGAATATCTGTGTATAAATGATCAGTCCGTTGTTTTTTTAAAGAAAAAAATGTATTTTATTATGTGATAATGATGCTAAAAAGCCAAAATATAGAGTTTTACTTTTATCTATTCTCAGACTTTTCCCAAGCATCAGGGCTGGCCATTCCCCGAGTACATCGGGGCTTGTGGCAGAGTTGTTGTGGAGGAGCATGCAGGGAAGACACTCTCTGAGTTTTTCAATGCTCCTTTCCCTGTCAGGGTGAGGAATTAATGCAAAGTTATTGTTATGATTCATAAAATGTCAACTTCTTCAAGAAGCCACATTGTCCTAAAAACATCCTCTCCTTTCTCGTAAACCTTCATTGAGTAGTTATATGTCTAAGCTAGCCTGTCATTGTAATGTTCAGTAGCCTGGGGCGTGTGAGTGGGGGGGGGATAACATTGTGTTGCGTCTATATAGCTCTGCTGACATTCCACACCTAAGATGCTTGTGCCTACATTTCCCCCTCCCCCTAGACACACACAGTAACAGCCTTGGCACACGCTAAGATACGTTATGTCAGCAACACACGTTATGTCAGCAACACACGTGTAGGTGTAGAAGAAGGCTTGTGATTGGTAGCATAAAATAAAATACATATGCTGTAAGCTTGGCTAAGCCTCTTCCTTTAATGAACCACGGTTCATGTGCGATCAATGGTCCCTTGGAATAGAGTGGATAAGCTTCATTGTGGGAGAAATATGCATGAAGCCTTATCAGCGGGGTCTGTTCGCCCGTCAAACGAATTTGTTGAATCTGAGTTTGCTCACTCAAATATGTGTTAGTTGAATCCGAGTTATTATGTTGATATTGATGGATTAAAAATACGGGAACTTCGTCTCCTTTCATTGAATCTAAGTTTTTGTTGAATCCATGTTTGTTGTGTCTGAGTTTCACTGTACATGTATATATAGCTTTGGCCTATGTTGGAATGCTATTTAAGCCATCATGATTGCATTGTACTTTTATTGATTTAATTATGTAATTATGTTTTTTTCAACCTCCATTTTCTTAGGCTGCCCTGGCGTATCAGTTGATGCAAATAGCAGAGACATTGTCCACTAAGTCTGACTTTGCCTTATACCTGACCGATGTCAGCTTTGAAAACTTTGCTGTTGACAGTTCTGGCAAAGTGACGGTTATTGACCTGGAGAATATAATTGTGGTCGACACATTGGCTATCAAAGCAAGTGAGTGGGTTTTACAGCACTAGTGACGTTGTGATCAGGTCAGTTGTAACCCCAGAGCATGACCATATTTGTGACATCTTATTAAAATCAGGCGCTGGATAGAAAATATGAAATCAAAGAAACGGACTTTTGTCTGCCTGTTGGGCAATTTCTATTGGTTTTTTGTTTTTGTTGGGTTTCTTTGTACTCAACTCCTTTAATGTCCAGTTAAACACATATTTGGGGGACATTTCTCGTTCAAGCATAGTAGAATTGTAAATGGGCTGACTCATGTCACTCTCATAACTGTGCCTGATCTACAACAGGGAACTGCTGTCTTTTCTTTCCTGGTACTGACTATTGTCATTTTCCTCTACTTCTTTTGTATGTTTGTCACTCTCTTGTGACCTGCTGTTTCTGGGATGCCTTGATAGTCGAAGCAGACCTTGTGCTGTTGAAGCTAGAGAGGTGAGCAGTCTGAGTCTGATTTCCTGTAAAGACTTCTCTGTTGACACCCACCCCTTGGCGCTCATATGACCTAATGCAGTTGCGAGCGCCGTAAAACCCTCCATTATAACCCGCCCCCCATATTTGGGGGCTCTCGTGCGTGGCCTAGAGGTTACAGTTTTCTTCTCATTCAAAAGGTACCAGGTTCGCATCCTGACAGCGATAGAAAATTTTCTTCTCTAAAAATTTTCTCTTTTCATCTCCTTTCCTGCCCTCTGGTCATGTTCTTTTGTCTGCTTTTGTCTTCACTTTCTGCTCCTCCCCCTTTGCTGCCTCCTATGGGCTCCTGACGGTTTCTACTGCCTTTCTACTACTACTTCTTGGATCCTTTTTACTGTTGTCGTTCGGCCACTCCCCTGATCTTAGGGGTAAGATTGAACACCTAACCTTCTCAGACAAGGGCAAAAAATCTCGGAGGTCCCTTGTACAAGTTGCACCTGTTTAAGATCTCTTGGTGGTCCTAAAATCAAATAAGAATAAGCTTCAGCTGTCACCCGAGCAAAATTCAAAATTCTTACCAAACTGAAAATGTTCAACATGTCCCGCGTGCTCACATGACCTTATACAGTTGCGAGCATGTAAAACACTTATCACACATTTATGTTGAAAAATGTTGATTAAAGGGCCAAGAAATGTAAATTTGCAATTTCCAAGGTCAATCGAACTTTGGGAATTGCCAAAATTTGGCTTGGCCATCATTTTCTTGCTAATTTTACCCCCCACCTCCTTCTTTTAAAAAAATGTTAACTTTTATTCAAGATAGGTCTGTTTTGCATCAAAAGCTAGACAAATTAACAATCTTTAAGATTATACCAAAAGTCCTTTTATGTGAACATGCCTGGTGAAAAGTAGAAAAAGACACATTGGTTTGAACCGAGATATCAGGCTTCACAGGTCAAAAATAGAATTTTTGACAAAAACTAAGTATCATTAAAAATGGATTCTTTAGCCATTAATGTATCAATATTTACAAGGACTTGAGTTTCTTCTTTTACTTTCAAACACTTTTTTAAAGATGATTTTTAACACGAGGTATATTGCATAATCCCCCAAAATGTGTGAGGAAATTGGTTTTTGGGTAAATGCTGCGGATGATTTCTCTTGTCCATTCCTAAAGTCAATCCAATCACATCGCATACCAAAATTTAGGTCATTCTCTCCCCTCTGTAATGGCGAGTAGTGTGCATTGATATCTCGATTATGTAAACAAAGCAAAGTTTTAAGCGTCCAAAGATAATAAATAACAAGATGGGCCACTCAGCCAAAAAGGTGTCAGCCGGAAGTTCGCTCTTTGCTTCAGATGGCGCTGCTGTCTGTTTTGAAGCTCTCTTTCATTTTTCCAGAAGAAGAATAGGAATAGCACCTCCTTGCGTGCGCAGATCGACTGCTGTTCATCAGCAGTTCGGGTTCGCTCAGTGCAGAGTTTTAGGTTTTATTTATTTTAATGATCTCTCGCCTTTCATTCTAAAGTCAAATTAAACGAAGAAAACAATCACCCTTTCCTCCGGAAGAGGTTTTTTGTCAGCGTAACCATTTTTAAAAAGTGTTCTCTCGAAATTTATTTAAAAACTTGCAAGTTTCACTTTGATTTTTAAAACTCAAGTAGGGTAACTCTGTTCGCAAAGGGTGCGCATTTGTGAAGAGGGCGCCATCGAATTTTGAGGATACTTTTTTAATTGGCTCAAAGAGAGAAGTGGCCCCTCTTATTATGTAGACTCTTTGACGCATCCACACCTTTCGGTTTTTTTTAGAGCGAACTTGTAATTGTATCGCCTATTTCTGCCCTGCTCAAACCTGGATCTATTCTCTTGAAAATTCTTCATCAAGATAGTGGGGAATTTGTTTTGAAGACGTAATGTAAACATTTTGAAGCTGTTCTTTTATTTAAGCTGCTTTATAAAGTTGGTTTGTGAGTAGCGAATGTGTTGTCAGGTCATCTCGAAGCGTAGATCTACCTATTTGATGCAGAAACAAAGGAAAAACTTTAAAGCTGTTTTTCTCAAAACTTTGTTTCCGTACCTTACCTTACAATATCACCCATATCTCAAAAATTGCTGAAGATATCTAAAAAATTCAAAAAGCGTATTGTTCAGAAATGATCTTTGTACATGAAAATGCAAAATGTAGGATTCTTCAAAATGCGTCATTTGGTACCTTTTACCAGGCACACACACACACACATGTATATAATATATGCTTAAAAATTGATGAGGGCCTGATTCCTTTTTGTCATGTCACATATCTTGTTATACTTATATCTATAAAAACTGAGAAAAGTTGTCCCGAAGCAATCTGTATATCAAAAGCCAAGTAGGCTCGTTCCAACGTAGATTCTAACTCAGCTCGTCACGGCTTCCCTCAATTATATTTTCGACAGTATACTGTATTGTATTTACATACAAGGGACAGTGAGGTCTGCTCTAACTTCAGGGGAGGAGGGGTGGGGAAGGGAGGGCCCTCTTTTGGTATAAAATATGTTAAAATCTAAAAGTGACATGTATGTCACTTAATTGGTCATTAATTCAAAACAAATGAACCTACTTTGATAGTTAATATAATGTAATAAACTCCCTGTAAAATAGACATGCTTTCGGCAATTGCCAAAAATCTAACACTATGTCAGAGTCGTCAGAAAGGAATAATAATGCCCGATTTGCTGACTTTGGCCCACCGGCATAGCGGTTCCGACCGTGAGCTACTGGGAGTGGCTTGCCGGGTATAAGGAGTTGTGGGACCGTTGGATTTTTTTTGGTTTAGCTGAGTTTTTTGTTTTGAGAGTTTGCTGAAATACAAGAAAAAATATTAGGGATTTTACTGCGTGTCTTAGCTTTCTTTTGACTGCAATTTTAAGATAAGTAAATGTCTCTTTTACTATGTATTTTTGTTGCAACAAGGAAAATTCCATGTACTCTCCCCACCAAGACAACAGTGAAATTAATTTGTTAACTTTCCTGATCTTTCCTTGTGTTATATTTCGTTTTGTTTCTTGTCAGGTTTACAAATACATTAAATACATATCAGTGTCTTATCTTCCTTTTCTGATAGGTGGAAGAAATCATGGTAGGTCAGTTTTTTTCTTTCCCACAGTTCTGTCTGTCTGCCTGCCTACCTGTCTGCCTGCCTGCCTGCCTGCCTGTC